CTTGCACAGATCACCGACACAGGAACACCGTTTCACATGCTATATGTATTGTATTTTATTCGCTTGCACAATTGCCTTGCATTACTCAAACATTAGTGCCCCCTAGTGGCACTCATCAGTACAACGACCACCAGAAGTTACGGGCTTCGGACGGGTTTTGCTCCCGAACCGAGCTGCCCAGCCCGGCGGCATGGAGCTTGTTCAACGCGTCTCCTCAAGCCCCACACATACACCGAGTTTCAGCCCCAGGGACCGCACTGCCGCCGAGAAGTGAAACAGCACTGCGTTACCTCACAATTTTAATTTGTCAAATAATCTGAACTGTATGAGTAGTATTTCAGCACTTGTGGGTAGTTCGGTAGAATAAAATGCCCTCATTCCTTTATATCCTCTGAGACTCGCGTGTGCCACTGATATTTGTCTCATTAGCAATCACGCCCTGCTTCATACCACAATCATGTTAAAAACATGAATGCATTCACTCATCCATAAACATTATTTCCCCATAAACATTATTAGATCCATCGACATGACGACATGTCCCATGATTCCATGCTCATTCACAGCGTCATCAATCTACGCCTTTGTTATTGTTTTGAATAGGTTAGTGACCTCTAGCGGTGAAAAATTACATATTGTGCCTGTAAGTTATGTTTATATTGTATATATTTCATTATGTATTTTAATAGGGTTATTTAATAAAACCATATTGTTACTAATTTTTGATACTTTATTTGAACCAATTATTGCTTCATTGCTATTGTATATGCATTTGAAGTCATTTTAAAATATATTGTTCACTTAGATATATTTTTATTACCACAAAAAAGTAATAGTTTTAATACCCCTTCAAGATCCAAATTTAGAGTCTTGTGAGAAGTTTTGTAACATTTTTATCAATAAAATCATTGGCATTAGTTTGCAGATTTCTTCTAATTTATCTCAGAATTTCCAATATTTAAATATTAGTTTGTCTTGTTTTTCTAACTTTCATACTATCTCACTTTTGAATTGTTGGACATTATTTTCAACATAAAGTCAACCACCTGCTCTCTCGATGTTATTCTTACAAAGTTGCTCCCTGTCCATTCCATGCTTGAGTACCATGAGGTTTCTTATCATATTTATGCAGATGATACCCAGCTCTATTTTCCTCTAAAATCAGGTACAACCAGTGCCTCCCCTGTTAGCATGTTTAAAAGACATAAAAGCTTGGATGGACAAAAACTTCCTACAGTTCCTACCTAAGTTATTTTGTTTGGTGCCCCACATATTTTAGATAATTTATGTCCTACCCTTAGTCCTCTTCAAGAAAATATTTGTGATCAAGTTAAAAAACTGGGAGTTAAATTTTTGATTCTGAACTAAAATTTGACAAACTAATACATTTTGTAATCAGAGCCAGTTTTCTGCAGCTTAAGGGGCTTCACAAGCTTAAAAAATTGACTACTTTTCATTACTTTGGAGACTGCCATTCACATATTCATCTCAACCAGGTTATATTACTGTAACACTATTTACACTGGAAATAACCAGTCCTCACTCTCACGTCTACAACTGATACACAAAGCAGCAGCTTGTTTTTTTTGGTTTTTTGACTAGGATGAAAAAGAGGGAGCAAACCACAACTGTGTTAGCATCACGTCAGTGGTTACTGTTCAATACAGAGTTGATTTTATGATTTTAGTATTCTCCATATTCTTGCTATGACTTACATCTCAGATCTTCTTCACCTCTACTGTTCCCAGAGCATGTTCAGGTCTTCCTCTCAGCTGCTACTAATTGCTCCAAAATATATTAAACCATTATTATAATTACTTTTTGTATTCGTCTGGTTTCATTAGGTATTAAGTTTATTTATATATAATAATTATTTGTATGTAAATCTAACAGTAACACTTTATAATAACTGTGCGCTATGAATAATCAGTTAAGCATTAGTAAATAGTTAATTCATCATTTATAAAGCATTGTTCCTACATTAATAAGCAAGGTGGTGGGACAAGTCTATATATAAGTGTTTTCCGCATGCAATATCTAAAAAAAATACGGGCGAAAGCACTTGATAGAGGCATGGGACTTCTGTTAGCTCCCACATCTGGTAATTTTACTTAGATTTCTTATGCCTTGCAGATTTCCCATTAAAATCACAGACGTTCTGTGGAACAATTCTGTCTTCTGTGTTGGTTTAGTTCCTGTGTGCCCTTTTTTGGTTATGTTCCTGGTCTCGTTTAGCCTTATTAGTTTACCTCCATCACTTGTGTCTAGTTAATTGCCCTCATTTGTCTATGTATTTAAGTTGTTCCCTCTCAGACACTCTTTGTCCGGTCAGCGTTATACCTAGTTGTGTTTTCCCTTGCCATTCTCCATGTGGTTTGAGTTGTTTATTAAACTGAGAGTTTTGGACTTTACCTGCTGTCTCCTTCGCCTTGCTTCTCAACACAACCTGTGACAGATGACCGGACCATGAAAAATGAACTGGGCAGAGGACCAGCTGTGGTGCCTGTGGCAGGGTGGTCGGTCTTTGGAAAGGTATGTGCAGGAATTCCTCGAGCTTTCCTATCGGGCGAGCTGGCTTGATGCTTCACTCGGTGCTTGTTTTTAGTTGGGTCTGGATGAGGAAACTATTCGCAGTAGTCTTCCTGCATGTGATTTCTCTGTAGTTGAGTTAATTAATCTCATCCTTTATTTAAATGGTTCAAATTTTGAGGTAGAAGAAGTTAAAGAAAATGTGAACCATCCTCATCTAGCCCCCTCTAAAACACACTTCGCCTCTCCAGCTCACCCTACGCCGGGACCCTCCACATGCCTAACCAATGGTTCCGACCACCAATCTCCTCCCGTGTTTCCCAGAGCACGCAAATGGACATCTAATAGCGCTGACCTGGGGTCCAGAACACCTGAGAAGAGATGATGCCAACCCCTCAGAGGACCTCAGATGATGCCAACCATGAAACAACATACAGAACTGCCAAATTTTGCTATAAGTTTGATTGCATCATATAGTAATTGCTGTTAATAGTGTTCATCGTCTGTTTGATTACGTCTTTAATTGATTTTTCCGTACATTTCTGCCATATGTACATTAACTGACAGTCACCACTGATAAGCTACCACTAAATATTGTAGAAACTTAATTTGCTGTAAAGTTGCTTTGCAACGATTTGTATCGTGAAAAGCGCCATACAAATAAACTTGAATTTAATTTAATTGAATTAAAGTTGCAGACCCAGCATTCAAATCTGTCAGGTCAGTGCTTAAATCCACATCCCTTCATCTGTCTCCAGTTCCAAGATCCATTCCAGTCCGCAGCCCAGAAGGAGCAGCCGCCTCACTCACGGCCGTTTCGCTCTTCAGCCCGCCAGCTACTCCACTCTCAAGCCCGTTGGCTGCTTCACTCTCAAGCCTGCCGGCTGCTTCACTCTCAAGCCCGCTGGCCGCCTCACTCTCAAGCCCGCCGGCTGCTTCACTCTCAAGCCCGCCGGCCGCTTCATTCTCTAGCCCTGTGATAGCTTCAGCATTCCCTTTGACCGCAGTCCTAAGGAGGAGGATGAGGAAGAAGAGATGGTTCACTGAGGTTCTAGCCCCTGACCAGAGTCGAGAGATGGCTCTAGCCTCTGACCAGAGTCGAGAGATGGCTCTAGCTCCTGACCAGAGTCGAGAGAAGGAGAGCACAGAGAGGGCTTTTGTTCCCGAGGGCAGCCCAGAGAGGGCTTCTGTCCCCAAGTCCAGCCCAGAGTGGTCTTCCGTCCTCAAGTGCAGCCCAGACAGGGCTTCTGTCCCCGAGTGCAACCCAGAGAGGGCTTCTGTTCCCGAGTGCAGCCCAGAGAGGGCTTCTGACCCCGTGTCCAGCCCAGAGAGGGCTTCTGTTCCTGAGTCCAGCAAAGTGAGGGCTTCTGTTCCCGAATGCAGCCCAGAGAGGGCTTCCGTCCCTGAGTCCAGCCCAGAAAGGGCTTCCGTCCCCGTGTCCAGCCCAGAGAGGGCTTTTGTTCCTGAGTCCAGCAAAGAGAGGGCTTCTGTTCCCGAGTGCAGCCTAGAGAGGGCTTTTGTCCCTGATTCCAGTCCAGAGAGGGCTTCTGTCCCCGAGTTCATCATAGGGATGGCTCCAGTCCCCGATCACCATCCTAAGATGATTCCCCGACCCAAGTTCAGTCCAGAGATGTATTTGGCCCCATAGCCCAGCCCAAAGTCTGTTCCAGCCAAAGGACCCAAAGGTTTCCCCAAGAAAATGAAAAAACATTTTGGGGGGAACTACTTGCACCGCCATGGCCCCCGGGATTACCTGCCCTGCCCTGGAGGCTTGCCGTCTTGTGTAGCTGCTCCTACCCACCCTCCCACCCCTCTTGAATGTGTTTATCGCGAGGTCGCGCTTTCCGGGAGGGGGAGTAATGTCACACTTTCAGTTGCCATGGACACCTTGTTTCTGTGTTTTCCTGTCTTCTGTTTTCATTTAGTTCCTGTGTGCCCTTTTGTGGTTATGTTCCTGGTCCCATTTAGCCTTATTAGTTTACCTCCATCACCTGTGTCTAGTTAATTACCCTCATTTGTCTATGTATTTAAGTTGCTCCCTCTCAGACACTCTTTGTCCAGTCACCGTTATGCCTAGTTGTGTTTTCCCTCACCATTCTGCTTGTGGTTTGAGTTGTTTATTAAACTGAGAGTTTTGGACTTTACCTTCTGTCTCCTTTGCCTTGCTTCTCAACACAACCTGTGACAGGTTGATTATCTTTATTTTTGTTCACAGGTGTTTCTTGTTAGTCATTAGTCTTATATTTTTACCACTGTCTCTTGTCTAGCTTTGTTCCCTGTAACCATTGTTGGTGAGTTTATATCTGTTTAAGTTTAGTTTATGTTCCAAACCAAGTCCTGCTCTGTTAAGTCTTTTGCTTATTTTGGGTTTGTTTCTTGGGTTATGCTTTGTGTGCTATGTGAATAAACTGCAACTTCCCTTGAGTGGAATATGATTACACTATGGAATTCACATGAAACCAATGACTCACCCCATGTTTTGGTCTGAGGTTGGCCCAGAATAGCTTTATGTCCCACAGTGCAGCTGTAAATGTCTCCCTCTTCAGGGGTGATCTTCAGATGGGAGAAGATGTTAAATGTGCCGTCATGATTTGGGCGATACTGGCTATTCATAAACTCTGTCACATTCACACTGTTCTTAGTCCATGAGATGATCACAGGTGGTGGGAAGAACCCAGTCATGTGACAGATTAGGTCATTCTCAACACCCACCATCACATCATATTTGGAGTAGATGGAAGTGTGAGGGGGTTCTGTGAACACAAAAAAATTGCATTTGTACATTTGTAACCAATCAATTATACGAAAAGTTGCTACTACTGCATATTAAGTTTGTATTATTACCTGTTTTTTCATCAGAGCCACTGTAAGCTTTTATTTGTATGTCTAAGTAATTTCTGCAGACTTCTAGACTACCAACACTCTGTTCATAAAATCCATCATAGCTGGTGGAGTTGACAAAATCTGCAAAATCAGGCAGTGTCAACAATCCCTTTTTCCCAATGAAGTCTGAATGGAAAACCTCCTCTCCATCTGTTCCATAAAGTTCCTCCTTCTCTGTATCAGAGCATCCAGTAAATACAAAAGAGTTGTGTACAACTGAAACAGATAAAATGTCAAAAGAAATTTTAGCTCAAAATCAGTACATTCTCAGTCTTTAAGATATAGTTAATACACTACAAAAGTACAATGAACAAATAATGAACTGTATTTCATCATTCATTCATTACAGTAACATACACAGCCATGATTAGTTTGTGTGTGTGTGTGTGTGTGTGTGTGTGTGACGCCACAGGTAACAGAGCAATTTTGTCTTTACTGTCCCAATACTTGTGGAAGGCGCTGTGTATGTGTGTATGTAAAGACAAAATTGCTCTGTTTGCTGTGGTCAAAAAACTGTAAATATGATTAAAAGGTGAATATGAGGCAGAAGTACAGAATGTCACATTTTATTATTGGCTGTTTCAACACAAACATGTTTTACCAGCTAAGAAGAACCCCTGATGAAAAATCCAGCATTGCTGGTCACAAGCATAAGGGATGTTTTGCATGCTGGAATGAGCATGAGATCCTGGTTGCTGGTTTGTTGGTCCCAAACATGGGATTCTCAAAGGCGGTTTGTTGGTAATCCAGCATAAGGTATGTTTTGCACAATGGAACCAGCGTGATGGTGTGCTGGTGGACCTGCATATGTTATATTTCGGGTGCTGGTATGATCCCAGCAGGACCACAACAAGATAACCTTTTTACTACAAATGACAAATAAATGCAAATGCAAATAAAATCAACAATATCTCACCAGAGGATGCTTAAACAACTCCAAAAACATCAGCATGTTCACTTGTAATGTGAATTGCATTTTGGCTTTATTTCTTTCATGTGGTATGTATAGTTGTTGTTGACATCTGTTTGACACCATTATGGAGATCAGTGTTCCCTTTAGTGTTGCCCTTGACTTTGATTTAATTTATTATCTTTCAGCAATTGTTGCTCCTGCCTGCAATGACAGACCTTTAACTATGTACACCCCCTTACAAAAAAATAACCATGATTTTACTATGAATAAAACCAAATAACCATGGTTTTTATAGTTATTCCATTGTAACCACAAATTAACCATGGTTTTGCTACAAAACCATAGTTGAACTGTTTTTTTTGTTTTTTTTGTGGTTATACAAATGGTAGTCAATGTGCCAAAAACATGGTTTTACTATAATAATTTTCATAGAGCTATTTTGGAATCAGTGATTGATAAAATTATGCAAGCAAAAACAATGCTTGTCCCCAAAGCACTGCATGCATATAGACAGCTGTCCTACTTAGATTCAACCCCGCAAACCATACTGTTGAACCAACTTCACCGCTCTGTTTTGCTTAAGAACAGCATAAATATAGTTAGACCAGCACTAACCAGCATAAATCAGCATGGGCCAACATGGAATTGATGCTGGTTTATGCTGGATTTTTCAGCAGGGAAAGCACCTTTAGAGTTTCATCCCTCTGTCTAATGTGAGCAAAAGTTTTGGACAGTTTAACTTAAAGCAAATGTAAAAGTGTAAAAGCTAATATTTCATTCATAGACATCACCGGACTCTGGGTTTCATCCTTTAAATGCTTTTCCAGGCCTTTTATGCAGCCATTTTCATGCCCTTAGTCTATTATAGTTATTGAAACAAAATATGATTTCTGTCTTTAACCCATATAAAGCACTGTTTGTTTGTTTGTGGGATTCAAAATATTGTTATACTTCAAAAAATAATTTCTAAGTCTAATAGTCATATCGAAGACTTAAACTTCTTCCTACATCAGCATGCTTAGCTTGCCTACTTAAGATCTTATAAAGCAGTGGATATCATTTTAATATGTGAAGTATTGACCTACCTTGAGTTTTAGCTCTGAAAATAGCAGGGAGTATGAAAATGAACATATACAGCTTCATTGTAGCCAGATGTGAGTGGAGCAAACGCCAAAGAAAATCATTCTTACTGGAGTCAATGATACAGGCCTATCATCCAATAAGAAGTGGACCCCAACTCTGACATCATTGTATCTAGGGTCAAATATTTTTAGTTTTAGACTTGTGAACTGTGGTCAAGGATACTAGACTTGTAAACTGTCAAGCATATTGGAATCAAGTAATTTTCAGGATGACTCTGACATCGAGACTGTAGTCTAGTGTATTTTGTGCTATTCAAACAGACAAAAATATTTATGTGGGTTTTTGTAAATGTTAGAGATAGAGGAGAGGAACACAGACTGTCAATATATATTATATGGGTTAATGATATTTATCAAATACATTTTCTTAAATCCTCACAACACAAATAGTGCCATTTAGTTTTTAGTCAACTAAAAGTTCATGATTTTTCGTATTCGTCATCCTAAAAATTTGTCACAATAGAGACATTGCACACTGAGTCTGATGCATACTAATTAATCCGTTGAGAAAAAATTAGCAAAACAATACAAAATGGAGTCTTCAAGCAGTGAGGATGATTTTGTTGTCCTCTCTCTTCTTAAAAAGAGAAAAAGAAAGAGGAAATATTGGGTCCATCCAATCCTGAGACTGTAGCGAGGAAGGAAAGTTCCACCTCCTTATTAAGGAGCTGCGGGATTATCCCAAGTGATTAAAAGTTTATTTCAGGAAGTCAGTGGCTCAGTTTGATGCTTTGCTAGCGATACTGAAGCCACATATTTAAAATAACGACCACCAGTTTCCGTGAATCAATTAATCCTGAACAGAGACTGGCAGTATACAGTGCTTTGTGCTGCGAGACGAAATGGATCAACTTGTCAGATGCCATTTTGGATTTTGGCGTTCGCATACGGTGGCTCTGAATTGTGAAAACACCTTTCAAAATGCTTGTTACGGATGCAAAAAATGCATAAAATCGAACCTGATCCGAAATTTTTTATGACAAACGAAAGTTTCAGAGGCAGTTTGTAAACATGATTGACACAATGTGAGGTCTTTTTTTTTTTTCAAGCAAAAATTTTGAACGAAAATGTCAGACTCAGTGTGCAAGGACCCTAAGTCTACATGACCTTGTTCTACATTCTTAAAGGCACAATATGTAAGATTTTTTCATTAATTTATCCAAAAACCTTTTGCACAGTGTTATATATTTCTTATATAACTTATATAAATTGTGCACTTTATCCAAAATGTTTCCAAGAATTTGTAAATTCAGAGAAATTGAACCATTTTAAATGCTATGCTATATGCACATCATAGACACACTTAGATAAAACGAGTAGTCCTTGGACACATTAACGGAACCAGAAGTTAGAGATTTGCACACGTATTTGTGCACATACATTTCATATTTCTTAAAATGCCATAAACAGTAAGGTCTGATTTCTGAGTAACATGATTGGGTGCTCAAGACATCCTGGAGATTGTTGCTATACATAAATGTGGCCCTTCTTCATGAATAAAGTTGAGAATTTTATGGTATTACACTGGCTCTGTGTCTGCCTGATCATTCTCCCAAGATCTCACGCTGCTGCTGCTGCCACCACACACCACAGCGGTTGGTGCACCGGGTGTCCAATTGATGATTGAGAGCATTGAGGCTACAGATAGTCTTCTTACAAATTAATCTAACAGACATTTAACGTTTTTATGCTTTTGAATACTAAATTACCTCAAAGTTAGAGCATGCTGAATATAACCAAAGAGGAAACAAAACTAGATGCTGTCTAAGTTTTAAAAGAGGAAGCAAACACTGGACAGCAGTCTGGAAAAGAAAGAGAAAAAAAAATAAAAAATATATATATATAGTAACGTAGAAGGTGAGACGACAGAGTTGGATCCAAATGCAGGCTTTTATTCAAAAGAGCGGTCAAAACAGAACAAACACAGGACCTAGGAAACACTACAGGCTAACAATACTCAGCAGTGTGAGTGTGTGTGTATGTGTGTGTGTGTGTGTGTGTGTGTGTGTGAGTGAGTGAGTGAGTGAGTGAGAGAGAGTGCGTGCATCTTTTATATGACATTTTATATGATTTTGTGTCACTGATGGGAAACAGGTGTGAGTGTGATAATGAGTTCCTAGGCAGGGGTTGTGGGAAATATAGTCCGGGGTAGAGTGGCAAGAGTCAGGGGTGGAGTGCCCTCTGGTGGAGTTCATGGGTACTCCAACTGGAGATATATATATAGGGTGACCGTGATTTCACCAAGTACAACATTCACCAAGACGTTTGGCACAACCAGGACTCTTCCAAGAGCTGGTTGCCCGGCCAGACTGAGCAATCGGGGGGAGAAGAGCCTTTGTAAGAGTGGTGACCAAGAACCTGATGGTCACACTGCTTGAGCTCCAAAGATCCTGTCTGGAGATAGGACATAATAATAATAATTCATTACATTTATATAGCACTTTTCTAGGCACTCAAAGCGCTTCACATTGTGAGGGGGGATCTCCTCATCCACCACCAGTGTGCAGCATCCACCTGGATGATGCAACGGCAGCCATAGTGCGCCAGAACGCCCACCAAACACCAGCTTATTGGTGGAAAGGAGACAGAAGCTGCGTCCCAATTCATAGGCTATGTCCTTCGAAGTGTGCATTTGAAGGCCGATTGCATCACGGCGGTGCGACGAAGACCGTCCCAATTCACGATGCATCCTCCGAAGGCTGCATTTGAAGGCAGATTGCGTCACCGCGGCGCGACGAAGGCTGCCGCAATTTGAACGTGACTTCAAATGTGCCCTCCGTTTCTCCGGCTAATGAAGGATACATCAGATGAATCCTTTGCAGCCTATCCTATCCCAGAATTCATAGAACGCCGGTGGCGACGGGACTTAATAATGGGTGATGGTTCTGTGGCGGCCGACGAATACACTTAGAAGTGTAAGTATTGCGTTTTAATTTACTCAAATAGCTAGTGAAACAAATGTTAAAAGTCAGGGGTCTTAAAAAATGTGAACAGATTCATTTGTTAGGTAGTCTGAGGCAAAAGTTCTTGTATTTATTCAATTCAGGGCTGAATTTGATAATTCCTGTACTTGGGACAAAAACTCACTGGCTCGGAGGTAAGGCATTACCCATCTGTAATATTTCCACTAGGGCCTCTTGTGTTCACAACAATTAGCCCTCACCCATATATAAAGCCCACAACAATAAGACAAGTAGGCCTATGAGGCTACTTAATAAGTAGACAAGTCTTTCACTTGTATTTTTATTTTATTTATTTATTTATTTGTTTGTTTTGTAGCAAGATATGTCCATATATGTTTTAGGCAAACTTGATGATCCAGAAATATGATTTCTGAAGTATTTTGTATGCACGTCCTGCTGTCATATTTTCTAACCTTAAGTTTGCAGCCCTGTCTTAATCATTTTCTTTCCTTTTTCCCTTCTTTTAGGACAGGTCTGGAGAAAATGGTGCTTCTGGGAAACTTAAAAATGAAATGAATGAAGTTGTTTATTACTTTTGTAATTTAAGTTATTTGTAAATGAAGCAAATTAATTTCTGTGTAATGTTTTAGTATTACTTCAATTCAACATCAGAAAAACAACATCAAAATGTAATTAACAATACATAAAACAGATTGGAAAAAGAAAAAAAAATTTTTTTTATGTACGCTTTCATTCAACTGAGCAGTGAGACCCTGGATAGGCTGCCATAGAGAGTCTGGTACAGCCTCTGCCAGTGGAACATCATCTGGGATAGTCTCCAGAGTGTTTGAGTGCATATTTCCACTGTCCAGCACTGGGTCGTTCAGGTTTATCCTGCAGTACAGGGGTCTGGTCTGATGTAAGGAAATGAGGAAAGGACTAATTGTGTAGTGCTATGACAAAGTAATTGGTGGAAGAAATAGGAGTTAATTTAGTAAAGTATTTTCAGTAACTACTATTAGCGCATTGAGGAAAAAATATATGCATTTAAAACCTTAAGTAAAAGTATTATCCTTCATACTGTAATGTACTTAAGGTATGAAGAGTAAAAGTAAAAGTAGCCTATGTATTCTGCAGAAAAAACTTTATATATGATGGTCTTGCATTAATATTACTGCTGCACTACAGTGTACTGTATGTTGCATTTGACTTCTGAATATGTTCAAGGTTGTTACATTTAAAATACTTTATATAGGCCTACTTTTGTGCAGTTTAATGTACAACAGTGCATGATATTGTAAAGGACCATCTTTTTGTATTGTAGCTGTCCTGTGAGAAAAAAAAATCTCATTTTTATGTGAATACTTCATGAATGTATTTCGTTACACTCCACGACTTTGTTATTTTGCAGATGAAACGAACAAAATTTATTGCTAGAATATTAACAAAGAGTTGCTACAACTGCGAACCATATCAAGGCTTTGTCAGCTGCCATTGACAAGCGGCAGTAACGTTTGTAAGTGGACTTTTTATATTTGAAAACCTCTTTAAATATGTTCACCATGGTCCATTTATGTACATAATAATAAATAATAGAATAAACAACATAAAATCACATTTTGGTTAGATATAAGTCGACATTTAATCGCTTTATATTTTGTATTTTTTCATGTCATTACAATATTCAAGTAAGTCGAAACTCAATACTTACATTTAAAGTGTAATTCGGTAATTAAAAGTCAAAAACTAACAATTCAGGCTCCAGTTATTTTCATTTTCATTAACAAATAACACCTATGGCAGCTTTCCTCTCGCACCGTTGCTACGCGGCAGGAGCGGCAATTGGGAACACCTGCTGGCGCAATTAGGAAATCCTGCGAAGGCTAGACTCAGAGTGTCCTTCAAAGACCGCGTTGGCCACATCCTTCGAAGGTCCCGTCCTCCGAAGGATGCGGTCTTTGAATTAGGACGCAGCTAGAGTGATGAAGCCAATCAGCAGATATGGGGATTGTTAGAAGGCCATGATGGTCAGAGGCCAATGGGCAAATTTGGCCAGGATGCCGAGGTCACACCTCTACTCTTTTCGAAAGACATCCTG